CCAACAAACCTATATGGGTGGGTCTTATGGGAGAAGTTGAACGCCCTTCAGGGTGGGCGAATGCTACTTTCTTCAAACAGACTGGAAGAAGCAATGAAATTGAGGTGTGGATGAACTTAAATGAAAAAATAATGTCTGCGGTAGAGCGTGACCCCGAGTTCCTCGAATTCTCTACTCCAAATCCTAGTATTTTCATGCCTCATGTATCATCTTAATTAATACATAATTGTTTTTAAATATTTCTCCGACTGTGAGTGCTTTATTGCATATGTTTTCATGGAGTTGATGTTATTTTTTTCTTTTTTCTTTCTTTTGGGTGGTTCTGCTCTTCTTATGCTGTGTGCTTCCTGTTTTTGTTAGACTCCGTTTGCTATTGGGGTGGCTAAAGAAGCCATCGTCCAATATTTTTACGCTACTATTTTGAGTTTTATTATCCATCCACCACTGCAATATCAAGTCATATTTTATTGTGGTCACATATTCTATAAGGCTGCAGATAGGGCTTTTGTGGTCGCCCAAATTTTTAGCTTTCCAGGATAGTAGAGTTTTAATTTCACGTTGCTCATGATAAATAATGGATCGATCATGTGTGGGCAAGCTTTTTGTCATCCCCATCTCTCTTCACTTGAATCTGATTTTTTTGCTCTAGGATCCAAAATAGCCAAGTACTTGATAGGTGTTTTCCGCTGGATCGTGAATCCGATCAAACTTTTTCAACATTAAAAAAAATATTAAAGTGAAGATAATCTAAGATATTCGGGGTTAAATTAACTAAAACACAACTAGATATATAAGCTTGAAAGAACAAAATAAATAAATAAATAAAAAGAAATTATAAAATTTAAAGTTTAATAATCTAATGTTAAAGATGAAAAAACCCTTAAAAAAATACAATATTGAAAAAAAAAACTCGAGTCAACTCAAGATAATTTGACAAACTAACAACATGTGATATGAGATCAGAATAAAAAAATTGCAAAAGGATGACCTAGAAAAAAACTTAAAGTTCAATAAAAAAAAATACAAGTTAGTTTGGGTTAACTTTACAAACCTACTTTTATAATAAACAAACAATAAGAAAAATGAAAAATAACAAAGCTCAAGGGTGAATGACTTAATGCAAAATGTTGAAATTGAAAAAAAATATCATAAAAAATCAAAGGAAAGAAATTTAAGTGAACCCGGGTTAACTCAACTAACCTACAACATGTAACATAAGATCAAGATAAAAAACCAAATTATATTTTCAAAAGAAAGGCCTTACAAAAAAAGCCAAAGAAATAACAAAATAGAATAAGAAGCGAAAAAAATAATAAAGCACAAGAAAAATAATTTTAAATAAAAAATATATTGTGAACAAAAATGTAAGTTGACTCAAATGAACTTGAAACTGCTCTTGAAATAACAAAATAGAATGAGAAGCGAAAAAATAATAAAGCACAAGAAAAATAATTTAATGCAAAATGATGAAATTAGAAAAAAAAAAGTGACAAGAAATTGAGGAGAAAAAAACCGAGTCAACCCAAGTTAACTCTACTGACCAGCCACTCTCAACATGAGATTGAGATAAAAAAAAATAAACTTCCAAAAGAAGAACATAGCAAAAAATATTGAAATTAAATAAAAGAACATTAAGTAAGAAAATACAAGCTAACCTGGGTTAACTTGGTTAACCCGTACTCGGGATAACCAAATAGAAAGAAAAGTGAAAGGATCACATAGTTCAAGGACCACTAATTTAACGCAAAAGTATGAAATTGGATAAAAAATCAAATTGAAAACATGCCCATGGTTGAAATTGAAATAAACCCAAACTTCAAAAAGCATTATAAATCAAATAAACATTAATGAAAAGGAGGACCATAATAAATAAGGTTACAAACTAGAGGATACAATTTTTTTTTTTTGAAGTTTAGACATATCCTTCTAGAAAATGAGAGAGAAAATAAGGAAAAAAGAAAAAAAAAACCTTCATCGCAGCCCAACCAGACCTCTTCCATGAGCATGCACCATATCACTGAGAATGATGAGTCACTTCTAATGCCATTGTGAAAGCAAAACTTTGACCACCATACATTCTGTCACATACCACTTGAATGGCATGAAAGCCATGATGTGCTGATGCATTTCAACAACTTTTTTAATAATATTTAAAAACTTAAAATTATAAAAATGTCCTTGACAAAACCTAAAAATAATGAGAAAACCAATTAAAAAAAACCTAAACACCCTTGCAAATAGCCTTGTTTTGTCAAAATGCAAGGTTAATTTCATTATTTTATTGTTTTTTTAAGAAAAGACAGAGAAACCTCTCTATGCATGTATATTTCTTTTTCTTCCAAAGACACGATCGTAACTCAACTGTTTATTTTTTTGAACAAAGATGAAAGAGCCCCTCACCTAAAGATTTTTTTTTTCTTTTAAGAGAAAAATAATCATTACACTATAACAAAAAAACATGTTAGGACCATTTTGTTGCTGATTAATTTTGCAATGACTAATGAATCCCATGTAAAAGACAGTTATACCCCAAATTTCAAGCTTAATTAGTTTTTATGGTAAAGGCAAAATCATATTTACATTATTTTAATCCACTGTTTTTGGAGTCACAATTAAAGATTGAGCTCAGTTACTCGTTTTTTTTTTTATATATAATGATAAAAAATTTATAAATTATTTGTTATGTAGTACTTAATATAGACTAGTCAGTACACCAATGCTATGTAATAATTAGGGGAGTTCATGGATATACTTGGGTTTGGTTTGAGTTAATTATATATAATCTAACTTCTAATATTTTACAAATTATAAACTCCACCAATTTAATTTTTTTTTATCCTAGCAAGTTAGATATATCAAGTCAGACTAATTTTTGTGTGGATATTAAAGATATCCACAAGTTAGGCTTGCTAATTTTCATGGGTTGAGTTTAATTAGAACTAAAATTTAAGCTTAATAAATTAGTCAAAACATGTTATAAAAAAATACTTTAGGCTCAATACATCAAATGAATCAATTGACTAAAATGAAAAAATCAATTGAAAAAAAAAGGACTTAAAATATGAAATATAGGGAGATAAGAGAATAAAAGATTGAGAGGGGGGGAGTATTCATGCTAGGGACTTTCTAGAATTTGAGAAAAAACTAAGATTTAGCCGTGAGAAAAAAATGTTTTATGGATGAAATTACTGATAGACTATTAAATATTATTATTTTTAATTAGTCTGTCAGTGATTCAGTCTGTAACAACCATTTAAAATTTTTGTTTGCACTAAAAATTTCAAAAATCTCTCTGGATTTTTTCATTCCATCTGTGATTTTATTGGTAAAATAGTAAATAGTCAACAATTATAAATGTATTAATTATCAGCACGTTGGAATTCGCAGTCCATTAGTGATTTCATCGAGAAACCACTGAAGGGAATAGTTCTTTTTGTCTCTAGAATATACTGATGGAATTAGACTGTCGATATATTCATGTGTAATTTCTTCCTAAATAGAGCTAGAGAGAATGCGATAGTTCCCTTTGCATTTGGAATACACCAACGGACACAAACCTTCGATATTGTTGACATGATCAAAAGATTGATGCATTCTTTCAAGTATAGGAGTGTTGAAGTAATAAATAACTCGGCAAGATCGGGATCGAACCACAAGGAGGTTAATTGTATAAATTATAAACAACAATAATATAACAACAACAACAACAACAACAGTAATAATAATAATAATAATAATAATAATAATAATAATAATAATAATAAAGAAGTTGATGAGAACGTTGAAATGAAAAATCAACAAAAAATCAGCATGATGATTAAATAATGATAAAAACAAATGTCCTAGTGTTATACAACACAAATCTAGACTAACCATTTAATAAGCAAAGTATTAAAAGTGAACAAAATAACAAATACAAAACATGTTAGTATCAAATATTAAAGTTCATATTGAGTTTACACTATACTTATTTTTACATCATTAGTGTAACCTTTTTACCTTGATGTAATAAACTTAACTAAATATAATAAAAAAGAGAAACATAAATAAACAAGATAAGAACATAAATAAAATACAAGTTAACTAAGTAAAGGAAAGGAAATGAGAAGCATAAACAAGAGATTAACATAAGTAAAACTTAAGCATTACAATAAAGAGAGAGCAAGAACATGATCTTGATCTAAAAACCAAGATGTCTAAATGCATGACAAATATCTCATTTTATAAGTCAAAATTGAAAACTATTGATTTGATAAGTAATTGTTGAGTGGTGACAATTCTTATCTTTTTATCTGTCAAAAATATTAATGCTAATATCCAAATTCGAACAAACTTAAATAATGAAAGTTCTAAAAAATTGTTTTAATTTTTTTAAAAAATTAAAATTATTTAAACTTTTAAAACTTAAATTATGATCTAAATATTGAATAATATCCTGGTATTAGTATGGTTAAAGAAGTCATCGTCCAATATTTTACGCTATTATTTTGAGTTTTATTATCCATCCACCACTGCAATATCAAGTCATATTTTCTTGTGGTCACATATTCTATAAGGCTGCAAATTGACCTTTTGTGGTCGCCCAAATTTTTAGCTTTCCAGGATAGTAGAGTTTTAATTTCACGTTCCTCATGATAAACAATGGATCGATCATGTGTGTGTGGGCAAGCTTTTTGTCATCCCCATCTCTCTTCACTTGAATCTGAACTTTTTTGCTCTAGGATCCAAAATAGCCAGTTACTATATAGTTGTTCTCCTATACGTAGTAGGCGGATCAAACTTTTTTCAACATTAAAAAAAATATTCAAAGGAAAATAAAATATGTTAATTGAGTTAAATTAACTAAAATACGGTTTGGGATATAAAACCAAAAGAATTCACACAAAAAATTGAAAGAAAGTTACAAAAATTAAAGTTTAATAACCTAATATAAAAAATAAAAACAAAAAATAACCTTAAAAAATATAATATCAAGAAAGAATAAAACTCAAGTTAACTCGAGATAACATAACAAATCAACAACCCATGATATGAGATCTGAATAAAAAAAATAAATTAAAAGGATAGTTTGGTAAATAAACCAAGATCAATAAAAAAATATAAAAAAAACCTCGAGTTAATTCAGATTAACTTTACCAAATAACTTAATGTAAAATATTAAAATTAAAAAAAATATATCTCATAAAAAACCAAGAAAAAAAAGTTTCAAATCAATTTAGATTAATTCATCTAGCTAGCAACACGTGATATAAAATTAAAATAAAAAAATAAATTAGATCTTTATAAGTCCGGCATGACAAAAAATATCCAAGTTAAAATCTTAATATTTTTTTATTTGTGATAATCTAATTATAGAATATTATTTTTATTTTTTAAAATTGAAAATTATCATAAAATATTATATTATTAACTCAAAAAAATATTTATATTATATTTGCAATAAAACTCAAATTTATGACACTAACTAAATATAAAAATATTAAAAAAATAATTTTAATTTTTTATATGGCTAAAACATGCTTGCATGTAAAGGACCACCTCTAAGGTTTTTTTCTCTTCAAAACTCATTATAAATTTGAAAAATTAGTCTTTCATTTTTTTTTTTGTA